AAGAGTGTACAATGTCTTGGACTTCTTGTATGTAGCTTTTGCTTTCTTTAGGGGAAATTTCTAATTCTGCATCTTACTGTAGTGTAGTAGTAATCAAACCTTTGCTTATCCTTTCCCCATTCCTTGCTTCTTGTATTACAAATGTCCAGAAAAATGAAAAAAATTATTTACCCAATGACCAGAATACAACCTGTAGGCATTTGATTTTTTTATTTTTTTTTTTAATCCAGAAGCAAGGCATGGAAATAGAAATTCTTTAAATGTATGTGTCTGTGTGTGGGAGATAGTGGTTTTTGTACAAGCACTCACACTCTATAAAGTCTACAATAAAGCTACTACTAAGTATTTCTGTGGATTTGGAATAACTTTATATGACTCAAGCCCAGGGGAAGAGGTCTGTTATGGAGCTTTGTGCAGTGATGGTAGATCATCTCTGAATTCTCTAAGAAGAAATAGAATCCACAGATTATTATTGTGAAGATAATTCAATAAAGAAAACTGTGGTGTAAGGTACTGTAATGTCAATAACATCATATGAGGAGGGGAAATACATTTTGTGACAAACTATTAATTTAATTTTGGAAATGCCATCCAAGGAAGTTTTTAGTTATTTTCTTGAGTACAAAATACACCTTTTTATTTTGTAAATGAATATGTTACCAGAAAAGTTCTTTGTATTCTTTCTTTTGAAATACACATCCTAGAGCAAGAAACCAATAATTCTAGAAGTTTGGATAAAGTATCTCGACGAGCCATGCTTGCTGTTGTTGATTACTTAAGAAGACAAAAGAGGTGAATTATACCTTTCCAAAATGTTGCTTTAATTTAATTATGACCATTCTAAGATCTGTTGATGCTTTAGATTAAGGAAGGAGGATGTGGTAGAGAACATGTCAGTTAAAATAATGAAGACATAGTAGTGACCTTGCATTTGTTACAGAAGTGATATGATCAGCCTTAAAAGGTTTTAACTATGCTGAAAGAGTTTTCCAAAAACTTTTTGTCTGATAAAATTTCTGTTACGGGTTTTGGGGTAACCAAGATGAAATTAGCCTTTGGAAGGCTTTTTAGTTAGATTGGATTTATTTTGGTTAACAGTAGAGAGAAGGTCTGTTACAGCAATATTAAAGACTTTATTTAATCAGATCTGTTTCAGGTACAGTTTTTGATGACAGCTTCTGGCTAGATCTGAATTACCTGGAGGTTGCTATAGCAGCACAGTCTTGTGCTGCTCATTTCACAGCCTTGCTTTATGCAGAAATCTACGCAGACAAGATAAATAGAGACAAACAGCAAAAAAGGTACAAGGCCTGAGAAATGCAGTTTCTTGACATTTCTGCTACAATGGATCCCAGAAGTGTTTTGTTACTTAAAAAGTTAATGAAACTTTAAAGGCATTCCTTAAGTGGATGTATTGACCTGGAAAATATTTCTACCAGTCCTTGAATGTGATCCCAACCTTGCTAGTTGGTTAGCTATGACACACTCAAAACAGAGTTATTTGACTTTTAACCAGAAAGTTAATTAGTGGTGTATGTGCTGGAGAAACTTCAGTGAAGCTAATGCATCTGAATACTGAACTGTTTTGAATCTCACTTTCTAAATTGAACAGTTTTCAGATTCTGTTCTCATAATTAATAGTGTGCTAGTGGTTGAATTATGGCCAGAAGTAAATAAAGGGGGCAAAGAAACAACAGAATGGTGACCAGAATTGTGTGAGTAGAGCTGAATGATCCTCACAGGAGTTTTTCTCTATGATGAACAATTATCTTTGTCTTCTGATCTAGTAAGATCAAAATATAGAATGACTTTACTAGCTTCGTTTTGGCAACAAATAACTCTAAGGCAGTGAATGTATAACAAAAGTATGATTGTATGCATATACGTTATGTAGTGGCTTTTATTCTTTCCCAGAAGAGAGCATTCTTGCTTCAGGCTATCACAAAAGCAATTTAGTTTAAGAAAAGATTTAGACTTTGCAAGGTGTTTTGTTTTGTTTTGTTTTCTTTGAAAAAACACTTTGATGTTGAAATCCCTTGGTGTTGATATTCTCAGTTCAGCCAATTGCTTTGTCATTCTTGTGGAGAGCCATTTTGAATAACCCCGGGATATGACAGGCCTGGTCTTGCATTTGGTGTCTGTGCCCCTTACTTCTTAAGTGTTGTTTTAGAATTTCTTCAGTTCTTTGTTTGAAATTTTATTTAACTTTACTGGTTGAAACATTTCTTTTAGGTCATCTTTTAAAGCAGCTAAAAGTTTGACATTTGAAGAAGAAAGTCAAAAAACAACTATTACTATTTTGAACGAAAAAATTAAAGAAGAAACTGGCATAAGTTTACAGGTACGTGTGTGCTTCAAAATCTGAAAGCAAACTTTTTCATATAATTACAGTTAACAGCAGGTTTCATCTGAGCTGAAGGCAGATCTAGTTGAATTTCAAAAACTATATTTGAAAGTTCTCCTCATGCTCTTAGTTCAGAGTGAATTCACTGGCCTTGTTGGACAAGTTGAATTGAGTATTTGTTCACCTGAAACGCTGATTAACTGGCAAATTTTAAATCACAGCAAAGCAGACTTTGTTCCCTGAAGGAACTGGCATCGTTGTCATCAGACAAGTATTTTTCAGTTTGTTTTGTCAGAGAGATATGTTCATTAAAAATCAGCAAATGGTGTAGCAAGTCATGATAATCAAAATCAAAATAGTGTTATCTCCTATTTGTTACATAAAATCTGATTTGGTAGCCTTGTCTAAGTTACTTCATAGTTCATTATTCCAGAACTGTGCTTGTGTATCTTTAAAATGCATTGCTTAGCCGGTATGTCTGATGCTCATTCAGTACAACTGCCTTTTGTTTTTCAACCAGCCCACCTAAGGCCCAGTGCTGTATTTTAATAACTTGGCAGAGAAGTTAGGTGATCCTGAAGAGTTTTGCTAGACTAGAAAACTTTTCTTCTGGTGATGATAGCAGGCTCAGATACTGCATAAAGGAAGGTTAAGCAATGATAACAACATGTTATATGGAAGGACCTCTATTTATAAACTTACATGAGATGTATAAAACTCCCTTGAACTGGTTCCAAAAAATGTAATTCTTCGTTTTATGGTGCACGTTCTAGGACCTTCTGATGGACGTATATAGAAGCATTGGGGAACCTGACAGTCTCTATGGCTGTGGTGGAGGAAGAATGTTACAGCCATTAGCACGGTATAATTTATTAATGTTCTTATGTTCTTTAAAGTCATTGCTATTAATTATTAGTAAGGAACTTAAATTGAAAACCTCTTGTTGACTTACAACAGGATAAGAACGTATGAGCATGAAGCAGTATGGGAGAAAGCCCTTGTAACGTATGACCTGGAGGCAAGCCTCTCTCCATCTGCTCGCCAGGCAGGAATCATAGAGGTAATTTTATTTTATAACAGGAAATGAATGTAGGAATTGATAACCATCATACTGAGAGTCATTTTCAGTAAATGCAAAATTGTTTTAGTACTAAAAGAGATCTCTTTGATCAAGTCCAGCCCACTGCCATAGGCATCCAAACTGTATAAGACAACTCAGTATTTGTTCTGAAAATATTAAGGCTTCTTGTTCTCTTGCCACTCACCCATAATCCCTGTCTTGGGTAATGAATTTTGTGAAATATTTCAAAAAGAAATATATTTAATTTTATACAGAATTTAGCAAGATCCTAAAGTGACAGGATATAAAAAGTAATGTGGTTCATTGGTTTTGACATCTCATTCTTTAAATCTCTCCATTATGCAAACAATCTTTGCAAACAATCTTACTGAAACTGTGGTGTTTCTGATGAAATAAATAGAGCTGATGTTATCTTATTTTGATCTCTTAAAAATGCATTACTTTTTTAGCCTAAAAATGTTCACACCAGTTCTGTAATAACATAGCACAGCTATATCTGTTTCCCCTCATTTAGTTTTCCTATGGTACTTTTCTTTACCTACCCTAAATTATTTAGTATCATTGTTAATATTCCATTGTGTTTCTCCTTCATAATGGCTGAACACATAACCTCAATAAGTGGTCAATTTATAAAAATCATTATGGTCTTCAAAAAGACAGCAGTTTAGGAGTTGCAGGAAACTTTTTCAAATCCCCACCAGGAAAACCAGTTCATTAAGAAGTAAAACAAGTTTGACTTACTACCCAGGAATGATGGAATGGAGAAAGCACAGAATCACAGAATATTAGAAGTTGGAAGGGACCTTGAAAGATCATCCAGTCCAACCCCTCTGCCAGAGCAGGATCGCCTAGACTAGATCACACAGGAACGTGTCCAGGCAGGTTTTGAATGTCTCCAGAGAAGGAGACTTCACAAACTCTCTGGGCAGCCTGGTCCAGTGCTCTGTCACCCTCACAGTAAAAAAGTCTTTTTCCTTATGTTCAGGTTGAACCTCCTATGCTCCAGCTTGCACCCATTGTCCCTTGTCCTGTCATTGGCTGTCACTGAGAAGAGCCTGGCTTCATCCTCCTGGATGGAACATATAGTGCATTCAAAATACAACATGGAAATTTATTTCAAAGATTGCCAGTCACAGTAGTAATGACACCGCTTTTTTGGGGTTGCAGGTATCAATACTGTGATTAGTAGTCTTACTGGAATATTGTCATCTTACATCATCGAATCTTAGAATGGTTTGGGTTGGAAGGGTCCTTAAAGCTCACCCAGTCCAACCCCTGCCATGGGCAGGGACACCTCCCACCAGCCCAGGCTGCTCAAAGCCCCATCCAACCTGGCCTTGAACCCTGCCAGGGAGGGGGCATCCACAGCTTCCCTGGGCAACCTGTGCCAGTGTCTCACCACCCTCACAATGAAGAATTTCTTCCTAACATCTACTCTAAATCTACCCTCTTCCATTTAAAAGCCATTCCCCCTCATCCTATCACTAGCTGCCCTTGTAGCTTGTCCCTCCCCAGCTTTTCTGTAGGCCCCCTTCAGAAACGGGAAGGCCGCAATAAAGCCCCCCCACAGCCTTCTCTTCTCCAGGCTGAACAACCCGAACTCTCTCAGCTGGTCCTCGTAGGGGAGGTGCTCCAGCACTCTCATCATCTTCATGGACCTCCTCTGGACCCGATCCAGCAGCTCCGTGTCTTTCTTTGTTTGGGCACCCCAGAACTGGACGCAGTACTCCAGGAGTTGTCTCAGGAGAGCAGAGTAGAGGGGCAGAATGACCTCCCTCGATCTGCTGGCCATGCTTCTTTTGATGCAGCCCAGGATATATTTGGCCTTATGGGCTGCAGGTGCACACTGCTGGCTTATGTTGGAGTTTTTTTCATCAGCCAGCACCCCCAGGTCCTTTTCCCTCAGGACTTCTCTCAAGCCATTTTCCACCCAGCCTGTGTTTGTGCTTGGGGTTGCCCTCAACCCAGGTGCAGGACCTTGAGTTTAGAAATACTAATGATTCTGCCTTACCCACAAAGTTTTCTTTGTTCCCAAAGGTAAAACAAATCCTTTTAAAAAACCAGTTCAATTTATTAAATGAGCAAAACTAACTTTCAGTAATTTTGTTAATTCCAGTCTTTGCAGAATTTTGGGCTTTGCCACACACTTTCCATGTATTTAAAAGGACTGGAACATGAAAACACCGAGTGGTGTGCGGAACTACAGGAAATTCGCTACCAAGCAGCATGGAGAAATATGCAGTGGGGTCACATCTCTTCTGTCAAGTAAACCAACTTATTTTTTGCTAGTTTTTTAAGTTAAAAGCAGTGGTTTCAGTTCCAAGCAAAAAGACAACATTTGAATATAATTTCTGTCAAGCAGGTCACCTTATTTTTATTAATCATTGAATTGCAAAGCAGTCTTTTTTCACTTAGACCTGTCTGGTTTGTATGCAGATCGCTTTTTATTATCCTGGGTTGTTCACTGTTGGTTCTTCTTTTTGATTGTTCGTAACTATAAGCTGAACTTTTCCATTTGTCACTCCGATAGTAGATGTGTCAAGTATGTATGAGGGATAGATAGTTTTTACTGTTTAATTTGTAAGAAAATGGGGAAAATATGACTTGGTAAGCTACAGGAGGTTATCAAGATCTGGATGAGCAAACACCAGTGTTGATTCGCGGCTGTTCCCTCATAAGGAGCAATCTCCTCCCGTGTGTGACGTTGGATGCCTGGCATTAGTTACTTCGTATGACCTGCCAGGCTGTAGCGTGAACTCTGTTCCTTCCTAGTACAGCTACATCATTGCACATTTTAGGAGGAATGCAGAATAGATGCACTACATTTTGTCAGAGGCAGAAGTTACATGATGGGGTCTTCAGTAACTCCTTCTAAATTAACTTCTAATAATCGGGAGAATGGAAGAGTTTTCTGCTAAGGACCTTACAGAGAGGTGGGTCTGGGGAAGGTGCTTTTGGTGTGTATTCTCTTCTCCTGCACTGTCTTAAGATCAGAATTTCACAGACATATCCTGTTGAAGGGCATATGTCATGTCACAGTCAGAGCAAACTTCACATTGGTGGGGTCTCTTTGTGGGTTAGGGTCTGTTTGCCTCTTAGGCAAACAGAATATTCAGCTTTAATAAATGAGCAGAAAAACAACATGTAAGATGAAAAGAGAGACTGAGATGGCAGGAAAGAGGAGAGTCAAGGAGGAGAAGAAAGAAAAGTGAAAAGGGCAAAGAAGAGAGAACTAAATGGAACAGTGCCTTTTTTCAGCCTACTGATTTTCTCTGTTCTTTTTAAATATATTGCTGAAGTTAAATGTAAAAAATGGTTGATACTGAACTGAAGATATGATTAATTTTTTATTGTGCAGTTGGTTTTGTGTTGTAGTTTTGATACTAAATACTAAATGAATTTAAAATTTAAAGGGTTGCATTATTATTTTTTATCATACGAAACAAAAATCCATCAAGCTGCAGAAAATACACCACTAAAAATATTTGTCATAAACATAAAATTGACTGCATTGTAGAGAGAGACAATTTTCCTTTTATGTTACTTGTGTTTTATTTTTAAGAGATGAGGCAGGAAGACCAGGGTACCATGAATCATTGTACGATGCTCTTCAGTCTTTACGAGATCAGGAATTCTCTGCTTTCTGTGACAGTCTTAAAGATGCAAGGTAACTGTATGCAAATATTCTGCTGGTAGAGCAAGACAGAGTGCGTGTGTTCGTAGTCACGATTTATGTATAAAAGAATCTTATGGGGGTTTTGGGGCTTAAACAAAGACTTATACATAGCATAAAATTAATACTTCTGGACTACAACTTCATTTCAGTTTTTTAACTTAATTTTGTCTTTTGTGCATATACAATTTCTGTGCTAATTGAAGATAGGTTTCCTGTAGTATACCAAAAATATTTACTATTTCTCTGTTCCATTCACAGAGTAAATGAAGTAGAAGAGCTCTGCAAAGGCAGTCTTGAGTCTGTTTATTCGTTGTATCCAACTCTTTGCAGACTACAGCTAGTTGGAGAGTTGGAAAATATAGGTCGGCTATTCTCCAGGTATTTTTTAAGATTGTTTCATACTCCTTTCTCAGTTTTTAGGATTTTTGGTAAACACATCTAGCACAAGAATAAAATTACCTCAACAGATTTTATTCATTAACATCTCAAACTTCACCTTAAAAATGATACAGATTTTAGCGTTACTATGTGAAGACAAATCTACATTCTCTTTATTTCCAGACTGGATTTATTTGAGGTCTAGTTTTAATTATTTGATATTATGCCAATATTTTATTTTAAATAATTGTTTTCTTTCCTTTGTTTTGAGTTTACTCCAAGGCTGCAGTCTATCTCCTAGCCTTTGGTTTACCAACGTAACTAAGTAACTTCCTTCTCTAGTTCCCTTTCTAAAAACGTTGTCCATTTTCCTTAATGATCCCCACAGATCTAATGAAAGTTGTTTCAGTTCAAATAACTTTCTTCACGGACCACTATTACCAGCAGTGTTCTACCTGAATTCTTAACATTGCTTTTTAATTACAGGTCTGTTACCACTCAGCAACTGAGTGATACTTATTTGAAATGGCAGAGACAGTCCCAGCTTCTCAAGGACAGTGACTTCCGTTTCCAGGAACCTATCATGGCTCTGCGCACTGTGATTTTGGAGATCTTGCTTGAAAAGGAGGTTGAAAATCCCAAAAGAGAATGTATCAAAGACATCTTGACCAAACATCTAGTGGAGCTCTCTAGATTGGCAAGAACTGCTAAAAATACACAGGTAACACATTCCAGGGAAGATCAGTGATGAATGTTAAGTTTTTTAGTTTACGAAAGAACTTCATTTTTTAACAGCACTAAAGATTAACTGTATTCTAGGCTTATTCAATGAATGAATTAGTTGGAGACTTAAACTACATAGAACTTATTCATAAATGGTATTTATGGGCATGTTTTCTAAATTTTGTTCGTAGCTGCAAGCTACTCTGAGGTAGATAACCAACAAATAAAGTTTTTAGTAAAAAGTGCGCTTACAGCTCTGTGACTTTATTTTGGTACAGTTTTCTATATCTAGCTTTCACATGCACCATACTGTTGTAGTGTTCCAGAGTAAAGCTGCAGAAAGAACTCAGTTACATCTGTATATTTAATGTTGTCTTCAAGGTTTTTTACTCTCAAAGCATCATTGCACCGTGGTAAATCTCTCTCTGTGAATGACTTAGTGAGACTTGCAATACCAGTGGTTTCTGCAGCTGTTAATGTGTTTAAGGTCCAGAGTCAGCCTTAGCTTGTTCAAAGTAGTGCATCTGGAGTCGTAACTCAACAAGAATTTATAGAGCAACAATATCCTCCAAGAGCCTCTGCAGAAAATGATCCCAGCTAAACATATAACCTGGAAAGATGTTTAACACTTCATGTAATTGAGACTACATTAAACTTTGATTCCAATAACGTTCTAAATCTTTTGGTGGATAATGATGAAATTAGGAGAACAGCAGTCTTTGATTTCATAAATTTGTAAGGTTTAATCAGTCCCTCTGAAATTGTTTTGGAAAATTACTATTTCAGAATTTTTTTATTTCATGCCTGCCCAGCCACTAGCACTGTGGTAATAAGTGTCCTGTAAGAGTGTCAATAGAAATGAATTTTTGCTTCATTTTGATTTTTAGTTACAGATGATTAATTGGGGATTATATAATTTAGGAGGATTAGAAGGTTCTTTGAAGAATTGAGCAAGTGTGTTTCTGAAAACACTGTCATTTCAGGCTTTTCATGTGCAATCTTTGGGGCATACTTCTGGGCCTTACCAGTCCTTCCAGCCTTGGGATGATAACCCTTTCCTTTGGCACACCAGTAGGTGACAACTCTAAATGTCTGGATGTAGGAAAGTTACAGAGGAGGCACTCTTTGCAACCAGTGGCATTTCTTCCTCTTTGGTGCCACTACCGTCCATCAGGAGAAGGAACAGAATATAGGTTATATTCTGTTATAGGAGATATAGATATAGATATAGATATAGATCAGGCTGGCCACTAACTGAAGTACCCAAGCTTAGATTTACAGTCAGTCTTACATTGTAATTGTTTACCATGCTATTTAAAAGTTTGATTGATTTGGTTATCACTTGGATAACTTGTGGAAATACACGTTAGTCTCCATCTTCTAACATTGTTCAAAAGATAGTTTGCTCTTTGTGCTATTGTAGTGATATTACTAGATAATGAGGATGTTACTTCACCAGTGATACAAGTGAAGAGGTAGGCATAGAAAAGCCAGTGCGGATGACACCAAGCTGGGTGGTGCAGTTGACACACTGGAAGGAAGGGATGCCATCCAGAGGGACCTGGACAGGCTGGAGAGGTGGGCCCATGCCAACCTCATGAGGTTCAACAAGGCCAAGTGCAAGGTCCTGCACGTGGGTAGAGGCAATCCCAAGCACAAACACAGGCTGGGTGGAAAATGGCTCAAGAGCAGTCCCAAGGAGAAGGACTTGGGGATGTCGGTCGATGGAAAACTCAACATGAGCCAGCAGTGTGCACTTGCAGCCCAGAAGGCCAACCACATCCCGGGCTGCATCAAAAGAAGTGTGGCCAGCAGGGTGAGGGAGGTGATTCTGCCCCTCTGCTCTGCTCTCCTGAGACCCCACCTGCAGTGCTACATCCAGCTCTGGAGACCTCAACACAAAAAGGACATTGAGCTGTTGGAGCGGGTCCAGAGGAGGGCCATGAAGATGATCTGAGGGCTGGAGTACCTCCCCTACAAGGACCGACTGAGAGAGTTGGGGCTGTTCAGCCTAGAGAAGAGAAGGCTCCGGGGAGACTTTATTGCAGCCTTCCAGTTCCTGAAGGGGCCCTACAGGAAAGCTGTGGAGGGACTTTTTGCAAGGGCAGGTAGCGACAGGACGAGGGGGAATGGCTTTTAAAATGGAAGAGGGGAGATTTAGAGTAGATGTTAGGAAGAAATTCTCCACTGTGAGGGTGGTGAGACACTGGCACAGGTTGCCTAGGGAAGCTGTGGATGCCCCCTCCCTGGCAGTGTTCAAGGCCAGGTTGGATGGGGCTTTGAGCAGCCTGGGCTGGTGGGAGGTGTCCCTGCCCATGGCAGGGGTTGGACTGGGGGAGCTTTAAGGGCCCTTCCAACCCAAACCATGCTGTGATTCTGAAAGAATTAATATATGATGGTGCCATTTTTCTTACTATTTTTCTGAGGTCTCTTACGATGTAATAATAATCACTAAACTAAAATTATAAATACATTATTTCAGTAGATACTGATTGTAGAGTTTCTATACTTGGTAACTTCAAGAAATTTAAAAAGTTAAACATTGTGAAGTTTGATTCCATAGTCTATTTTTGTTGCAAATTAGAATTTTTTGCAAGTATATAGAAAAATAATTTTACCTCTTTGCTGCAAATTAACTCTTAGCATTCAATAGGCAGAATATGCTGCATAAGTAAAGCAGATGAAGATGGAGTTTAAAAACAAAACTTGCTGTGAGATACATGAATCTGACTAAAAGAATTGTTTATAATATTTTTTCAATTTCAGCTTCCAGAAAGAGCAATGTTTCAGATCAAACAGTACAATCCAACGGGATATGGACTTTCTGAATGGCAACTAGAAGAAGCTCAGGTTTTCTGGGCTAAAAAGGAAGAGAGTCTTGCACTGAATATTCTTAAGGAGATGATAAAAAAATTAGATGCAGATTGGTTTCAGGTATGTGATATATAATGTATAAACTTATGGGAATTAAATTAGTTAAGATCCTATTTCTACTTTCTGAAGTTTTCCCTTGGAATAAAGTTAAAAGACTATCTGCAATATTACTAAATCTGTTTTGTACTCTCAAAATGTCTGAAAGCAAAAAAATCTGTATTAGCAAATCTTACCAGGAGATTTCAAAGTAAGTCTGTAAGAGTGGTAAATGTTAGAATTCATTATTCATTATTTTGCCTCCAGTGCCACCACTTTGAAATATATAGCTTTTTAAAATCAAAGATGATTTCCTTTGATAAAAAATTAACTTGTTTTAAATAAAGCTGTTAGATAGAGGTGAATCCTCTTGTTCTGTGCCAGTAGTTAAAGGGCCAGGCAGGGTTGTTTAAGTGTATTATGTTGGGAACTAAAGTAGCATATGTATTTTGTACAAGAGGAATAATAATAAGGATTTTATCTGTGGTCCTTACTGTGTAAAAAAGGACTAATACAGGGAGACACTAACAAATTTTGTGCTAAGGAAGAATACCTCTGTTGCAGGCATTTCTCTGATGTCTGTAGGGAATCTTTGTGCAAAGGTGGGAGTATGAGTTGGGGCTTCTGTTTCAGTGGGAATGAAGCTGTACCAGTACAGAAATTCCAGGCAAGTTTTGGGGTGATAAATATTCACTACTGGACTTCAGGTTTCTTTGTCATATACATGACTTGGGGTGCCATTTCACATCTTTGAATCCTCCCCCATTCACAAGCACCCTGGGCTGTTAGTTTTATGTTTTACTTCTGAAAATGGAATCTTGCCTCGAACAGGGAAATGGTTTTTTTTTTTCATCAAACTTGATTTCAGCAAGTGCCTCTGAATCTTAGTTCTCTTGCATCTTTTTATAAGCTTTCTGAAAAATCATGTTTCTGAAAAATCTTCTCAGAGCACTTTTAACCAGGTTTCCGTGTCGAGGTCTGTCTGAAAAATATAATAATCATGCATGATTATTGCAATTCATGAATATTTCCTACAGAGTGTACTGTGGGACTTTACATTAAATGGGGATGTTAGAAATAACAATTTTGGAAACATGCTGTGAGTTTATTTAATTTTTCTTATTGTTTTGTTCTGTTTTTCATTTTTCAAACTGTCAGGCATTTAAAAATATATGCTCTCCTTTAGTCTAACACAGAATGTGATTTAAGATTGTTGACTACTGTAGGTGTGAATGGTAAATGCATTATGTGTACTAGGCCCAAGTGATTAAATTATATTCAGGATTCATAAATTGCCTACCTCATATGTAAAACGTATTTTTATTTGATGCCTTCCTCTTTTTTTCTTTTTTTTTTTCCCCAAAACTTGTTATCTCCAAGGTTGAGAGTAATCCTCATCTGAAATTGATGTATACAGAGTGTCTGAGGCTGTGTGGAACCTGGTTAGCAGAAACTTGCTTGGAAAACCCTACAGTCATCATGCAGAAATACTTAGAAAAGGTGCATCCAGTCTTTAAAATGTGTGGTCTTTGAGATGATGCTGTGCTAAAATATGTTGTTAAGACGTAAAGTAAATTTTACAGTGCAGCTTTTATTTTTCTGATACAAATTTTTTTAAAAATATTATTGTTTTAGGTAGTATCATATAACATTGTAATCTTATAAAATATTCAGAATATGGCTTTATAGAATTCACAATGAAACTTTTGCGTAATATTAGCTTAGAAGTTTGGTGATAACAACTGCTGGTCCTGTTTCCCTTTCTTATTTCAACCTATCCCCATGCTTTTCTTCTCAGGACAGGTCATTCTCTTACCATGTTTTCAGTATGGGGATTGCATTCATAACAGTCTCCTTCCAGGTGCTGAGAGTGTTTCACAGTACAGTATTTTTTTAAACTCTTGGTCAGTAATAGAAACATGTTTATTAATAGTACTCTGCATTTCTTTATTTGGTGCTAATAGTTTTCTCTGTTACTCTCTACATATTTTCTTCATGCTGAAAGTTTGAATCAATTACTTTTACATATAATTTCCTTCTTTTTTGGCACTTCTTAATTGTCTTCTATTTTTTTCTCAACATCTTATGATACAAGGTTGTAAAACTATTGTAAAATATCATGATGCCTTGTTACTCTGAAAGACACATAGCTGTAGGAGATCCCTGTATGATTATTAAAGCTGTTTCATGCAGGATGATGTTTTTGTCTGTTTGCACTGAAACGCTCCTCAAAGATTTCGTTCACTTAGGATAAAAATATTGAGCCTGATAGATTTTATTTTGTATGCATGTGTGTTCCATCAGAAGTAAGATTACATAACCTGTTCAAGTAGATGACTCTGCTGAGCAGGGGAGTTGACAAGATGACCTCCAGAGGTCTGTTTCAACCTCAACTATGCTGTGTTTCTGTGACGGTAGAGTTTAATCAAGTGTTGTGCAGCACTATAAACCTGATTATCAGTCTTACCATTATTATAACTTGCCTTTTAGGCTGTGGAAATTGCTGCAAGCCACAGTGGAGACAGCAGCGATGAGCTGAAGAAAGGAAAGATGAAGGCTTTCCTGTCTTTGGCTCGTTTCTCAGATAATCAGTACCAGCGAATTGAGAATTACATGAAATCCTCTGAGTTTGAAAATAAGCAGGCATTACTGAAGAAGGCCAAGGAGGAGATCGGCCTCATTAGGGAGCGTAAAGTTCAGACAAATAGGTGAGCATTCAAATGGAGAGCTGGTTACTATGGAGCCATCAAAAGCTCCCTCTTCACTAATTATCTGTCCCTCTGGGCAAGTGGTAAAGCATGGGTCACATCTCTACAGCTGAATTTTTCCTTCTCCACAAAACAGAGGCCAAATCTATAGTGCTCGTTGCAAACGGTTTCTGAACTATGCCTGAACATGGTCTAGGAGAGCGCTAGTTAGTGTGGATCACAGCTTAGCCAAGGAGTGTTACAGCAGTTAAACAGCACGGATGGTCATGGGCCAGAATTCACATTTATTCCCTGGATCTGTTTAGTCTGTTTGACGGAGAAAAAGTTACAGCGTAAAAAAATAAATTACTCTGAGGTTCTTCTCCATTACGTTTTTGGTGAAAGACCAGAATTCAGCTTAATAACAGAATTCTTTAAAATGTAGTAAGAACAATTGCAAGTGAACGGAAAAATTTGAACTCCAGCAGTTGGAAAATGAAGTCCTTGCACAATGGTCTTTACTGGATATTCATACTAACACTAGTATTGAAATTAAATCCCAAAAAAGAAAAATTTACTTAGAGTGGTGGGTCTGCGTGGACATATACCAGAACAATAGCTCCCACAGTTTGATTTCTCAGTTGTTTCGTTTAATGTGCTTGTACATACAAAACAAGTGGAAAAAAAGTTAAATTAGTAAGCAAGAGAAGTAGGGACAGCCTGGTTTGTAAGTTCATTAAGAGAGATCTGTTCACACAGGTATATAGTGAAGGTTCAGCGAGAACTGGAACTGGATGAATGTGCCATATCTGCCCTGACTGAGGATCGTAAACGTTTCTTGTGTAAAGCAGTGGAGAACTACATCAGCTGCCTACTAAGTGGAGAAGAACACGATATGTGGATCTTCCGACTCTGCTCCCTGTGGCTTGAAAATTCTGGAGTTGACAGAGTCAATGAAATTATGAAGGTATATGTCTGCTGTTGCTTTTCCTTCTTAGGCTTTGCTATTAAATTATCTGTCTTTCTTTCCTCCTCCTCCTATGTTTCTAGATGAATTGCAGCGCAGTGCAGTATCCTTTCCTATGCATCTCTTTAACTTCTCCCTCAAAACTTGCTTTTTTCAGTCATCATTGCTCCTCAGTTTTTCATCAGAGCTGTGATTCTCAATCCATTTTAATTTAACTTAATTTAGCATTTTCATTTGACATGGCTGTATTATTAAGCATTTCTCATAATCTTTCACTGTTGTCACCTTGATCTTTACATACCTTGGGTACTGCCCATCTTCAACAGCCTATAGTACACAATTCTAGTTTGTTATATTTACTGTTAGGTGAAAGGATGTGCTTTCAGATTGTCTCTATAATGGAGTAACCAGGGACCAGTAAAGTTCTCATTCTCAGGCTGGTTCTGTGATTTCTAGAATTGTGCAGGAAATCTGTTCATTCTTACCTGAATAATCCGTTTATAACACAAATCTGTATCTTAATTCTTTGCTTTGTGTTATAACTAACTTTGAAAAATAGAAAGTGTTCCTTTACTCATATTTTTTAACACACAGTTGTTTCTTGTCTTAAATTAGATTGTATTTTTTTTTATTAGGATTGTCTCTTGCCACAAATAATCTAGAAATTAATACTGAATCAATATATCTAAGCTCTGCTCTAATAGAATAGAAAATAGTATTTTTCTTATGAAGGACTTGTAGCTTTCAGGAGACATGGACCAAGTTGGTGTGATACTCACTGGATTGCCATTGATCACACAGCAATCATTACCCTCGGTTCATAAAAAAGGGAAAAAGAAAAACCAAAATTGCAAGCCCTTACCTGGTATTTTATGATTACCTTTTTTTGGTGTTTAGTACAGCTTTCTAACTGAATTTTTTCTATTACAGAAAAATGCTGAGAAGATCCCTTCATACAAGTTTTTGCCTCTGATGTACCAGCTGGCTGCTCGGATGGGAACCAAGATGATGGGTGGCTTGGGATTTCATGAAGTTCTGAATAATGTAATTCATGCTTCTGCTGTCTAAGGATGCCTTGATTGGCTTAGTGGTGCATACTTCTAAACAATACATATCTTCCTTTGTGCAGTTAATAGCTAAGTGCTAGCTATTAACATTATTAACAATTATTAACAATTAATTATGTAGGTGATAAAGGTGTATTAAAAATGAGCGATGCAAAATCAGTATAGTGGGGGGAAAGGGGGAGAGGACTGGGGATATTTTACCTTGCTGCTTAATTGATTTTCTGCATGTGTAAGGATAGTCTTTTGCAGGTATAGGAATATACTTTTAAGGTATTTTAGTTGTGGAAATACTATCTAGGTATTACTTTTTATTTCTTATTGGGAGTGTTAGAAGTTCAAAAGAATGAATAATGTTAATTGAGTGTATTTTTTTTCTTCTATACCGTTTTCAAAAATGGGATCTTTTTGTTTTTCTTGACAGCTAATGTCTAGAATTTCACTGGATCACCCACATCATTCTTTGTTTGTAGTATTAGCTTTGGCAAACGCTAACAAAGATGAACTCCTCACAAAACCAGATGCAATAAGAAGAAATAAGTTAATTAAAAATGCACCGAAAGAAATCTCCCAGCTTGATGTGGTGACTACAAAAAATTCTCTTCTATTAATCACTTTCAGTCCTTTCATCTTGTTAAAAAATGAAAGAAAGAAAAGTAAAGGGGTATTATAGTGTAAAGCTCATCAGCTGACTTGTGAAGAAAGAGTAGGAAGAAAAAAGTACTTTTAATAATAAAAACCCCCTCCTTTCATGTATGCATTGTTAATTATTATTGAAAGAAGTCATTATGGGGTTGAATAAAACATGGTTAACATTTCCTGCAGCAAACAGCCCCAATTACTGCAAAGAGTTTTGCGATAAATGTCCTTGACGTGTGTATTCTGTGAAAGGCATTTTAGATGCAGCAAAGACTTGAGTGGGTTTATTGTTAGAAGTACATCTTGAATTGAGTATTTTTTCAGCTTTGATTGTTAACAGCTCTTCTAAGTACTTAGCCTTGTGCAGGATATCTTTTGTTCCTTTATATGAGCTTTCTATGTTAAAAGCAGTGATGAAGGTAATGCTGAACTGTGCCTTCATGTTACAGTTGTTGCTTATTTTTTGTTTGGTTGATTTTTTGTCTTTGGAATCATCTCATATCTACATTAATGCCCCTTTTTTCCCCTATTTCCCCTTTTTTTTTGCCTTTATCTCAGATTTGTAGTTCTTTTGTGGTCCTACCCTGAGGAGTAGGAAGGATTATGCTGAACTTACCTAAGTCCCTCAGAGTTGGGCACAGAAGGGACACATTGTCGGATTCTTGCTTTTGGTGTAGTTTTCTTGCAAAGTTGCTTTTCTGAGGAATTTTTATGGGTTTTTTGCACTTAGACTGGACAGATTTGCTCCCTCTCCATCCCCAATACTATTTAACTTTACTCATTATCTCAGATGAGACAACACAGATCTTTTCTCCAAATCATTTCTGTTCATATCACAAGAGCTGTCCATTATTGCACTTGTCTCAGTTGTACTTATTAGGCTACATGTTATGATGCATCTTTAATCTTACAAGGTGTAGTTTGCAAGATCTGGTATTTGTATTCTGCTTGGGTTTTTTAGGACCGAATGGAGGCTGCTAGGAATATAATCAATGTCGTAAGAAAAAGGAGAGCTCGTCTCGTTAGAGACGTTGAAGCACTCTGCGATGCTTACATCACTTTAGCAAATGTAGATGCTACTCCATGGAAGTCGCAAAGAAGTAAGTCTTGGAAATTTTTGGTTTGTAATAGTGAAGATATATATAGATATATA